GAGGAGAAATCCAGCTCCCTCTGGAGCTGTGGGGCGATTCCCTTCCCGGCCCCGCTCTGCAGGCAGCTGCCCCGGCCCAGCCACCCCAGAGCCTGCTGCTCCCCTTGTCCCGGGTGACGTCCCTGCCCTCCTCTTCCAGCCATCCTGATCGCCCACCTCAAGCTGTCGCACGTGGAGCTGCGCCAGATCCTCATGACCATGGAGCCGGACCGCCTGGAGCCTTCCCACATCAAGCAGCTCTTGCTCTACGCCCCTGACGGCGAAGAGGTCCAGCAGTACCAGAACTACAAGGACAACCCCAGCAAGCTGAGCGAGCCGGACCAGTTTGTGTTGCAGGTAGGAGCACACAGCGACGAGCTGCGGCAGCGGGGAGGTCTCCATGTGCTCCCCAGAGCTGTAGAGGGAAGCAGCTATAGAGGGAGGCTCGTGTGTGTGTTGCTTTCAGGTGCAAGGAAGGCTGCCAGGGAACGCCGTGTAGGTGGGATCTGGGGACTCAGCTAATGCTCATAGCAGTAATTTTCTCTTTTTTTGTTCTCAGATGTTATCGGTACCAGAATACAAGATCCGTCTGCGCAGTCTACATTTCAAGAGCACTCTGCAGGAGAAGACAGAGGAGATCAAAGCCAGCTACGAGTGCATCTGCAAGGCCTCTCTGGAGCTGAAAAGCAGCAAGAAGCTGGCGAAAATCCTGGAGGTCAGAACAGTCCCTGTTCCTGGCGCCAGCCGCTGGGGGCCTCCCGTGTCCACCAGGGAGCCGGGCAGTTTGCTGGAGCCCGGGAGCTGCTCCGGCCCCAGGGCCGTCCTGTCCTCTGGCCTCCTCCTCATCTAGAAACCCCGTTTCTTGGGTCCGGGCCGTGCAGTGCAGAGGGGCACTGTGTGTGCAGGGCGGCACGAGAGCTTCCTCGCTGGCGGCTTACATGGTCCCCGCTGAATTAATTTGGTTTTGCCTTAAAAGAAAAGAAAACAGGCAGGATAAGTAAGAACATGATGTGACAAAAGACATTTCCAGATGAGAGATGAAACTCCTCCGTGGGTTCTGCCCAGTAACCCCATAACACTTAGTTAAGTGCTTGGGAGGAGATGTTAGCTGCACATTAACTTGCAGTTAGCAGAAATTCACAGCCCCAGGATGAAATGCAGGCAGGGAGCCGTGCTCTGGCCTCGGGTCCGGGCAGGCCCTGGGGTCCCTCTGGTCGTCACCAGCCTTTCCCAGGCAGGGAAAGCCAGAAAGTTCAGCCTCAAATGCTGCAAGCCACAGCATATGGAATCAGAGGAATGTGGGGGGGAAAACATGGCTTTGGATTGCTGTTGCTTTTTAAAAGAGTGCCTTAAAGGTGGCCACGTAAGAGCTAAAAAAGACTTTTGGACGCAGACA